TAAAGATTCGGCTTACCTGATTATGGAGGCTGGCAAGTCCCAAATCTGCTGTGTGGGCCAGCAGGCTGGAGACCCAGGAGAGCCGATGGTGCAGAGGGAATCTGAAGATACTCTCCTGGAAAATTCCCTCTTGCTTGGGGAAAGCTGGTCTTTTTGTTCTAGTCAGGACTTCAAATGACTGGATGAGGCCCACCCACATTACAGAGGCAGATCGGCCCTCTTCAGACTTTATGGATGTTAATCTCATCCTGAAGGATATGGGCCATTAGTAGCCCTGCCTGGATTGGACTGTTGTAGTTTGACAGCGACCTTAATCACAGCGCATGGTAAGATGAAGAGACAGCCTACGGGATCTCCCGCGGCCCAGACCTACTCATCTTTAGCTCTATTATGGAGGAAAAGCCCAGTTTCTCCTTCGCAATCAGGACCAATCACACCAGCCGGCCCAGCAACGCCTTCTTTGCCTCTTGATTCAGAGGCATGAGGAGACCAAAGGGGCCAGGTGGCAGTCTTAACTTCCAGTTCAGTGGATTCACTGCTGTGTCTCCAGGTGGAAGTATTTCTTCCAGGTGGAAGCAAGATGTCTAGCCCATCAGGCCTAGAGTATAAGGTCATGGGGACAGGAATGAAAAATTCTGAATTCCCTCGGGCTGGGGAGACCAGTCTTTTTTTGCTCTATTCAGGCCTTCAACTACTTAATGAGGCTCACTCACATCACATCATGGAGGGCAATCTGCTTCACTCAAAATTCACTGATTTAAATGTTAATCTCATCCCTAAACATGCTCCAAGTTGACACATAAAAGTAACTATCACACTGGCAAAACAAACAAACAAACAACCAAAACCACCAAATAACCAAAACCAAAACCAAAAATATGGGGGAAGGGAACACTGCCTGTTGTAGTCCTCATTGGGAGGGAGAGTCACAAAGCACATTAACATAAACGCCCTGCAGTGAAGATTTTTCATATTTGTATAACCCCATTTTCCCCAAGTTTATTTGCTCATGGAATCATGGGAGCCCCCCCCCTTTTTTTTTTTTGAAAACATTTCCATCTTGCTGGATAGCAGGGTTTAAATGAACACAATCAGGTAAAAAGCTGGTCTATAGAATGGTGTCTATTTAAGCAACTGGCTCGTTAGGGGATTAAATTGATGATACCAACTTCATTACTGGCTTCATTAACTGAATGGGTTTTAGTAGCCTGTTGGGTATTTATGCGTTTGATTTGTTGGATGTTTACTGTCTAAAGCATGGTACTAATCATGGGAAGTGAGGTATAGAAGCGGGGAGGGAGTGTTCACTGTCAAATCGTGAACATGTACAGTAAAGTCTAAACTTGGGGAAAATGGGGTTATATAAATATGAAAAGTCTTCTTCACTGCAGGGTGTTTCTGTTAATGTCAAATCATGAACATGTACAGTAAAGCCTCACTCCCTGATGAAAAGCCCAGTTAAGGAAAGGACAGCAGCAGAGAGGGCACGATGGCTGCCACCAATTCAGTGGCGTATGGAGAGGGTCCCCTGCACAGGATTCCACACACGACATGTCAGATGTGAACACACAGATACACTTATGACTATTGTCAGCACCAACACAAAATCACCATCTGAGAAAGACACAGAGAGAAAGGGAATCACGAGGAAGGGAAAATGACACAGCCTCTCTTTTTTTCCATTTTCAAATGTATAGTCTTATGATTTCTTTTTCAACTCAAGGAAATAATGCAGCATCTTTAATCCTATCATCCTGGAAAACTTGATGACTAAGTGTCTGAGCGCAGAAAGCAAGGACATGTGATATTACATGATAAAATTAGTCTGAAGTTGATGTGCAGGAATGTGACATTCTAGGTGGATCACAGGAAACTGGCAAGCTGTATACCTTCTATGAAACCAAATGCTGTTCGTCCAGTTAATTCACAGATGATTATCATGTTGAGATAGGAATCTCTTCACCACCAGCCTTATCCCCTTTTTCTTTTCACCCAATCTCAGCCATCATCCCTGCTCCTCAAAGGCAGAAGGAGGCATTGGAGAGAGGCCGGGGAGCAGAGAGCAGAGCGGTGGGGACCAGATAATCGAGAGTTGCTTGATTTGGAAAAGGACAATGCTCTTGAAAAGGACAGTGTTCAAAAAGCTGAACTGTGTGCTAAATTAAGGAGTGTGGATTGAACACACCATAAGGACCCAAGGAAACACTGAGGCTTTTAGGCAGGGAGTGATATGAATGGATAAGCACTGAAGTCATTCCAATACCCACTGAAGCATATGTGTGTGTGTGTGGGGGGGTCGTTATGGGACGTCAGGTAAGCATGAGACTTGATAGCTTTGTGGGTCTCTCTCCATATATTTAATAAGGACATAGCTTCTGGAAGACAGGTACACGTCCTTGTTTATGGTCCAGTTTGATTTGCTATAATGTGGACTTCTAGGACACAAAGGAGTACACACTCAATTTGTTAATAAGAGATTAAATTTAGTACTTAATCCAGTTTGGACACCTTTCCAAATCTGCTACCTACCCCCACCCCCATTCCGCTGTTCCAGCCAGAGATGGCTTGGGCTGCTACCTGGTCTTCAGCTTGTTAACTTGGTCTCCACTGGGTGTGATGGTCAGGTTTTGGGCAGCTGTAGTGCCCATGCTGCCCAGCTGGAGCCTGCTGCTACCTAGGCTGGGTGTGAGAGATGTGACATAACCTGTAAGGTAGGGGGTTCACGCACCATGAGGTAAGCTTTATCTACGAAGGACAAGACACAAAGAGAAGCTGGCACATAAATTGCCAGTTTCCCCTCGCCCCGCCCCCACCCGTCTTGCCTGAGATGTGATGGTTGGTTCCCTGTGACCTTTCTGGAGACCTCCCCCATGACAGAGAGGCAGGAGTGTCTTTGCAAAGCTATGGGCATCTTGGTAACAACCTGAAATTTGTTCTTTTTTGCTTCATTTCCCTGTTTCCTTCACTCCTGCAACCCCTGTAACAGGTAAACTTTGCCTCAGGGCTCTGTTTTCTAGGGAACTGAGTCAAGGCGATGCCCATATAATAACATGGAAGTCATTTTGGTTCATATTTCCACACAAGGGGAGGCACACTAGATAATGGTAGTGGAATTATAACCTTCATCAGGAAGAGGAGAAGCCTTCAACTCAGTAGCTACCCAAGCTGTAAGAGCCTTTTGGCTGCATTTTAAGAGAATTAAAATGAGCGCCTGAGTCTGGGGCCCCCTCCCCTAAGACACACAGGCTGGCTTCTAGAGGTTCTGGGCTGGGTCAGATTGTGCTGCTCCCTGGGCCATCTTTACTGAAGCCCCTCCAGCTTAGCACCCCTCCCCCATCTGCATTGTTCAGCGCCTCCCACCCCCAGCTCACCCCCTCAGCTCTGCTCTAACTAGAGTGTTGCTAACATTTTCACTCAGCTGTTTCTGGGCATTTGAAATAGCCCTTTGGCAGCTTGCAGCCAGGCTGAGCTGTCTACTGCCCTGTTCAAGTTTTCTCCCCAGGAACCCATTACCGTTTTTTTTTTTTGCGAAAACGCTGGTTACAAAGTTGCGCAGATTTGGGATGGTCTGCCCTACCCTATTTTTCTCAGAAACTCCGTGATTGTAGTGCGTGATTTTTGAGAACGTGAGGTGTGTACAGTCACAATGTGTTGTAATCTCGCAGACATGTTGGCGTCTCTTCAATAGGGAGGTGTTGAATGAGTAAAATACATTTTAAGATATTTCTAGGAACATGGGAAGTGACTTATCCACATCTTAATGTGGTGGTTACTTAAGCTTTCTGTTTATGTCAGGGAAAATTTAACCAGACTTTCCTCGCATTGCAGCTAATTAAAAATACAGACTTTTTCCATGGCAGCAGTATATCCTTGGTTAATGGGGTAAACATATGATGCTGAAAATCTCTCTTTGCGCCCTATGAATTCATTCTTCTTTCCTCATCATGTTCTGTGCCCTGGGAGGCTGAACTTACATCAATGGTGACTCTCTTGCCATCTGGCCTTCAGTTGGGTCCAGCCAATGGGATTCAAAAGAAGGGATCGGAGGAGGATGGGAGAAGAGTGAGGTGGGGTGCCCACACCTTCAATAGTCTCAGTCTGTGGGTGCCACCTAGTTCCTGCTGTGGCCCCAATGGCTAAACAACTTTCTTTGAAGGTTCATGTATTTTGCCACCTTCAGTAGATGAATGAATGAGACAACTTCATTAACTCATGTTATATTCATCCTGGATTCATTAGCAATTAGCAAGAAATGGAGGGAGGGGTACTTCGCTATATCTTCAAGTTAAAGCAAAGAGTATCTCTTCCTGGGCAAATGTGTATCTAAAAAAAAAAAGCAATAAACTACATTTGAAAAAGTGCCATTTAAAACATAATTCCATCTGTTTTTGATGATTCAGAAGATCCTTCAGTCGACAGCAGTGTCTCAAGAACCATGATTATGAGTACCAATTATAACTGTACTGAAGATGTGTGGAAAGTCTGATTAACAGGAACCAGAGAGCAGAATTTTCTATGCTTCGGGTTTAATAACGCTGTATGTGCCTGCTATAAAAATCCCCTATGAACACTGCTCAGTTACTAATAAAACACAGACCCACAAAATGACCCCATGGTAGGTTTTATACTTTTAAGATAAAGTCAGAACTATTTGTCAATTGTCTCTAGTGTATATCCTTTCATCTTCAGGGCAACCCAACAAAGTGGGTCTTAACATCTGTTGTATAGGTGAAGAAATAGGCTCAGGGAAGTTAAGTAACCGGTCCGAGATCACACACGTGGAATAGGGGCAAAGCCTGGATTAGAGGCCAGATCTGTTTGATTCCGTGGCGCAGACCCTTTTGGTAGATCACCTGCCATTTCCAGGCTTGTTGAATGGAAATTCAAGAACTCACCACTTGGCTTTTCCATGCATTTCCAGTTCGGAGTGATCCTAAAGAGGTTAATCCCAGCTAGCGAAGGCAATCGGTGCTTTTCTTTTTGTTTTTTTTTTCTTCTAGGTGGCACTGATTTTTACGATTCAGGCATCTCCGTGTTTCATTACCCACTGCCATGTCACATTGCACCAACGTTAGCGGGAAGGCAGTCCTTCATGATGACGGCCAGCATTCATGATGCCACGAGATGCCAGGCTTGAACTTTTCACCTGAGGAGACGGTGGGAAGCCATGCTTTCAGGCAATCACTCACCATGCCGTGGATTGAATCATGGGGTCTTAGAGCTGGTGGCGAACACTTATAATGAAAGCAATAATTTTTACTTGCTCTTGAAGACCTCTTTCAAGATAGTAGAGTACACTCAGCAGGCAAGAAGGCAATCTCTATTTTCCCATGTCCCATAAACAAGGCAACAAGCTCTGGGTGAGAAGGTAAAATAATGGCTTATTTTTCAATATTTCATGTTCCTTAGGCTTATATCCAAGTATTGGTTAAATCCTGAAGAGTGGCCCAGACCTGGAAAGTTAGCTGGGCAAGTCTGGTGGATGTGGCAGGCAGTGAGTGACTGAGCAGGAGGGTGGCATACCAGCACGCGGTGAGCTGTGGGTGTGTACCTGTCTTTTACCTGGGACCTGCCGGTGATTGACAAGCCAGGGAAGCAGTAGACTTAAGAGCAAGGGCCCTAGAGAGAGACTGCCTGGGTTCCTGTTCTGGCCCTGCCACTTGCCTTTCTGTGCCTTAGTTTCCCTGCCTGCTGAAGGGGTTCAGAACAGGCCTCCCAAAGATGTGCCACTGTGGCATGTGAATTATTCTGAGCTGAAGGCAATCGAGATGTTGGGGCTTACGAGAAACTTCTACCTCTCTCTTAAAGAATTTAAATGGGGGACTTTGCCCATAATAAGAGTTATCACCAGAAATAACTTTTTATGACCTACCTATAGGGCAGGACAAATATCTAATTACTCAACATCTGTTCTTACCACTCTGCAATGACCTTCCTCCCCTCAGAAGCCCCAAGGTGCCTTAACTCATCCTTAGCTCAGAATGTGATATGGAGGGGCGGCCAGTTAGCTCAGGTGGTTAGAGCGCAGGCTCATAACACCAAGGTTGCTGGTTCGATTCCCACAGGGGCTAAGAAGCTGAGCCATCCACAGCTAGATTGAAGACAACTGCTTGACTTGGAGCTGATGGTTAGAGTGCAGGCTCATGACACCAAGGTTGCTGGTTCGATTCCCACAGGGTCCAAGGAGCTGTGCCCTCTACAACTAGATTGAAGATAACTACTTGACTTGGAGCTGGTGGGTCCTGGAAAAATACACTGTTCTTCAATAAAATTTCTAAAAATGAAGAAGAAGAAGAATGTGATATGTACCTCACTTTATCTTTCTCTGAACCTCTTACGTATGTGGGGTCTCTGGCTTGCTTGTGTGTGTGTGGAGTCCCCGTACGTATATATGTAATTAAATTGAGTCATTTTCTCTTGTTAATCTGTCTCATGTCTATTTGGTTATTAGACCAGCCAGAAGAACGATGAAATGGTGATAACAAGCATGTAACAACAATAACAACCTCGAGGGGTGGTTGTGAACCTTGAGTCAGGTAAGGTACATGAAGAACCTAGATCAGCGCTTTGCACAGAGCATACCATATATGTGTTAATGACAGTTATTACAACTCTCATTTTTCAGTGTTTCAAAAACGCGAATCAACTTGTCTAAGGCCACACAGCTAGTAAGTGCGTGGCTGGGACTGGAACCTAGGTCTGCCCAAATCCAAAACTCCTTCTTCTGGGCAGGGAAAAGTGACCCAGGAGAGCTGCTGTGAAAGTTAACGATGCTCAGTTGATGTGCTCAGTGATACTTTGTGTCTATTAAGGAATGCTCTGACAAGATAACCCCAGGAACCACACAGGATAGGCAGAGCATGAGTGAGTATCCAGGACTGCCCAGGGACCTTGATGTTAGATCAGGGGAAACCAGGGACAAGTGTGTGGTGCCAAAGGCAAAAGTGGAGATTGAAAACCATACCCATATGATATCCCACTCGATAATTCTGCAGACATGTGGCTTTAGTGTAGGTTAATTTTGAAATAGTGTTTCTTTCCGGGCCCATCATTTTTGTGTTTAAAGTGTTTATGGGCTTTCTCTGCTGGGAAACATGGGCGTCATGGCCAGGGACCATGAAAGATAAGGGCATTTATAGTCCCTTCAATATGCATTCAGCGTTCCATGTCCAGCTCTTAGAACAGTGTGTGGACCGTATTTGGTGCTTACTGAATATTTATTAAATGAATGGATGGAAGAAGGAAAGAAGGGAGAGATAAATTAATGAATACACTTTTTTTCATGTTGAAGGAGGGCAGGGGACAGTTTAATGAACCCCACCCAGAGGCCTCTAGGCTGGGGCTCTCTACAAAGCCTCTGCACGGTTCCCCTTCTCCTCCTCTCCCTGGTGGGGGTTTGTATCTGGATGTGGACCCACCCACACAGGATGCATTGGGTTTTCAGGACACACAAGGGGAGGGAACCCCTGGCATACCCACCTTTCACTTCCCTGGGTCAGAGTGGCTCCTGCAGCCTTAACAAAAAGCACATTGTGGCACTCATCTGGAAACGGGGGTGGAGAAGTGAGCTTGGCTTAGTCAGACTGGTTGGAAGTCTGTTGTAGTAATTCAGGTGAGAACCGATGAGGGCTTGCATTCAAACCCAGGTGGTGAGAATGGCTTGGAGGTGATATATTCTGGAAATATTTGTAGGGAGGTTCGTGGGCACTTATTGGACTCATCATATCCTGCCCTGAGGCATTAGATGTCCCCAAATAAAGTGAGTTTATAGTTTCCAGCTGAGAATGTTGGCCAGATACCAGCTCTTGCTAGGAACTGGCTTTTTAAAAAATGGCCACTATATTCATTGTTTTTGAATTTCTGAGTACCATCCGTTTGGTTCTACAGAGTGTTTATTTTTCATACCTAATAGAGACCTATTGAAATGGCATTTAATTCAGAATTTTTGCACCTATGAAGTCACTGCATCTTTTCTATTATACTAGCATTGCAGCCTCTGCCACCATCCCTCTGTTCCTATCTCTCTATTTCTCTCTTTGTTCTCATTCTCTCTCTCTCTCTCTCTCTCTCTCTCTCTCTCTCTCTCTCTCTCATCATTCCTCTTTAGCCATGACTGCTTCCACGCATCACAGGAACACACTACCCTATAACTTTGATTCTTGTCCCAGGAAGGGAAAACTTTTGTAACTCAGAGGCACCCCTAATATTTATTCATCATTTCCTTGCCCCTGATCCTTAGGGTTGCAGGCGGTGGAGGTTCTGGCAGAGAAAGGACATATCATGTCCCATGTCAGGGCCCCATGTCATTCTCAAGGCAGGTTCTTGCTTGTTCCTATGCTTCTCCCATGAAGTCTCTAGTTCTTTCCCAGACATTTGCTGCAATCGCCAACAGCTTCAGGACCTGTCCTTGCTTGGTGAGTAACACTTGCCTGCCAGCCATTGTCTGCCACACCAGGAGGCTCTTTCAACAAGGTGGAGGACAGACCTTGGCCAGTCTTCTCTGAGGATCCGCTTTGTGCTGTCATCTGTGGACCTACCCTCTTGCCCTTACCAGCTTTCTCTGCTGGGTTTCAACCCCAGGCTCTTTGGATCTGGGCCTCCCTGCTGAAGCTGGACTCCTGGGCGTTAGCTTCCTGGCCTCAGTTTTACCCAAGTTCTGGCCTACCGCTCACTGCCCAGCTTGGGCCTCTGGGTGCCGTGCTATGACCTGGAACCTTTTCTGATTTGGTCTGGGGACCCGGGTTTTCATCTTGCCATTGCCTTTTCCCTGTTGGTTCTGTCCTGAGCGTCTTCATGTCCTTGGGTGGCAGTAAAGTGACTGGCCTTGCTGTTCCCAGTTCAGCCTGCTTGGCTAAACGAAGTTGTGATAGTTTCTGTTCACCCCTACTGGGCACCTTTCAGTCATTCCATATCTCCATATACTGAGAGTTTAAGTTCTGCCTCTCTCATCATTCTTCAAAATTTGAAAATCCACGCTGTGTTGTACACCTGAAACTAATACAATATTGTATGCCAACTGTAATTATAAAATACGTTGAAAATCCAACTTCTTATTCAGAAATTTCATTTAAAGAACCTAACTGCCTTGATTACACCTTTTAGATTTAAGCTGTGCTCTTGGTCTGTGTTTAAGGAATGCATCTGCTTTCTCGGGGACCTGTTCTCACTCTTGGAGGAGTTACTTTTCTGCTTAAATTACTTAGTAATGTAGCCAATGCCATTAAGAATATAATGCAACCAATAAGTTTAGAGAAAATTAAGGCTATTGGTGATTACTAAAAGCTTATTTCTTTGTGAAGTGGAGGTAATATTAGGGAAAAAAATTAATGTGCTTTCTCTCTTGAACATTTGGGTATGTTACCTTATCGCTGATCTCCCCAAGGTATCCTATCCCTCGGGCTCATAGGTGTGTGCATGGTAAGTAATGGGGATTTCTGTTGACATTACAACAGAAATGTCAAGGGAAATTTAAAAATTAATACTCCGCTTCAGACATTCAAAGTAGACTCTTGTTACCAAACAATAAGCTTGAAAGCCAGGTTTTGCTGAGAGAGGATCCCCAGTTATCAAGGTCTAAAACCTAGCCCTTCTGTTCCTCAGCCTGTGGAAAGAAGGAGAGAAAAGCGCAGAAAAGGGAAGAGGGGAGAGTGCAGCCTTTCCCTACCCCCAGCTTTATTAAGGACTAATTGACAATTTAAAAGTGTATATATTATGCTAAGTGAAATAAGTCAGATGGATAAAGACAAAAACTGATGATTTGACGTACATGTGGAATATAAAACCAAAACTAACAAAGGAACTAACAAAACAAACCGAAACAAACTCATAGATACAGACAGTGGAATGGTGGTTACCAAAGGGGAAAGGGGGTCAGGCAAAGTGGGGAAAGGGGGTCAAATATACGGTAACGTAAGGAAACTAGATTTTGGGCAGTGAGCACGCAAGAGAGTATGTGGATGTGGAATGTTGTACACCTGAAATTATATAATGTTATTAACCAATGTTACCTTCAACAAATTTAATAATAAAATAATACATATTTAAGGTATACGATTGATTATTTGATATACGAGTATGTATAAATTGTGAAATGACTGTCACGATCAAGGTAATTAAAATATCCATTACCTCACATAATTTCTTTTTTTGTTTCTCTTTTTTTGTGTGTGGCAAGAACACTTAAAATTTACTCCCCTAGCAAATTTCAAGTGTATAACACAGTGTCATTAACCATGGTCACATTGTTGTACATTCAATCTCCAGAGCTTATTCATTTTGCATGACTAAAACGTGTACCCCTTGACCAACGTCTCCTCATTTCTCCCGTCCCACAGCTCCTGTCAACCGCCATTCTATTCTCTAGTCTATTCTGTTTTGTATTGTTTTATTTTATTTTATTTAAGATACTTATTAAAAATATAGCCAACATACAATATTATATTAGTTTCAGGTGTACATCATAGTTATTCCACATTTATATACCTAAAGAGTGATCACCATAAGTCCAGCAACCATCTGACAAAGTACTACACTATCACAATAATATTGACTATATTGCCTATGCTGTACATTACATCCCCATGACATTTTGGTTTTATATCTGGAAATTTGGACCTCTCATTTCCCTTCCCCTTTCCCCCCATTTTTAAATTTATCAATTACAGTTGACATGCAATATTATTTGATATTAATTTCTGGTGCACAACATAGTGGTTAGACATTTATATAATCTAAGAAGTGGCCCCCCTAATAAGTCTAGTACCTGCCTAGCACTATACATAGTTACTATCATATCATTGACTATAGTCCCTCTGCTTTACTTTATATCTCCATGACTATTTTGTAACTACCAATATATATTTCTTAATCCCTGCACCCTGGCCCCAACCCCCAACCCCCCTCACCTCACCCCAACAAATGTAGTACCCACCTGGCACCATACATAGTTATTACTATATTATTGACTATATTCCTTATGTTATACCCTACATCCTCATGACTACTTTGTAACCACCAATTTGTACTTTTTAATCCCTTCCCCTTTCTTCACCCATGCCAACACCCTTCCCATCTGGTAACCATGAGAATGTTTTCTGTATCTATGAGTTTGTTTCTGTTTTGTTTGTTAATTTTTTCCTTAGATTCCACATATAAGCGAAATCACACTGCATCTGTCTTTCTCTGTCTGACATACTCCACTCAGCACAACATCTT